CGAATTCCTCAAGCAGAAAACGATACGGTGAAATCTCAGCCGTTGACTAACAGAACTAAAAGCAAACATCTAACAGGACACGTCGACGATCCGTGTGAAACCCTTTTCGCCAATAAGAATCCATCTCTTATCCCTATATATATTTCCACTCTTTCCCTTTCACTCATCGCATCACAATTCGGTCACCCTCCTTTGCACACGAAATCACAACAACTTTTCGACTTTCCCGGTTATACGATGGCGCCCGCAAAGGGTGAGAAGAAGCCGGCAGAGAAGAAGCCAGCGGCGGAGAAGTCTCCAGCGGAGAAGAAACCAAAGGCGGAGAAGAAGATCTCGAAGGAGGGCGGTAGCGACAAGAAGAAGAAGCGCGTGAAGAAGAGCGTTGAGACCTATAAGATCTATATCTTCAAGGTCCTCAAGCAGGTTCATCCCGATATCGGCATTTCCAGCAAGGCCATGGGAATAATGAATAGTTTTATCAATGACATCTTCGAGAAGCTTGCACAGGAAGCCTCTCGTTTGGCGCGCTACAACAAAAAGCCTACCATTACTTCAAGGGAGATACAGACTGCGGTGCGCCTCGTGCTGCCCGGTGAATTGGCCAAACACGCCGTTTCTGAAGGCACCAAGGCCGTTACCAAATTTACTAGTTCTTGATTTAGGTTTTTAGGCGGTTCTTTCGCGGATCTAGGGTTTCATGTGGATCAATTTTTTTTTTGTGCTTTAGTTCGTACATGTAATGATCTAAACTGTTTTTAATGGAAAGTTTACTTTGAATAATTATACTTTCGAAATTATGTGTGAACTTTTTTCGATTTGATTTTATTGCGTTAAACGTTGATTCGATTGTTAGGTCTTAATTGGATTGTTGTTTTGTTAATTGTTAATTTGATGAACCGCCTTTTTGTAGATTATATGTTTCTCTTGATTCCTTATGGTTTGCAGAGAAGTTCCGCTTGGTGTAGTGATCGTTGTGTTTTTGGGAAAACTTAATTTGGTAATTTGTTTTAACAACAAACTATAATAAAATTGTTACTTTATATACTTGGAGCTCGATTTGATAGGTTTTTGTGTAGGTGTGTCTTAGAATAGTGAAAATACGAAGTATTTTGTTTTGCAATAAAATAAGGGGATCACAGTTATATGATAAAAAATAATTGCCTATTCTCTTAAAGTGAAAACTGAATCAAACAATTTTGAGGCTTTGAATTGCTTTGTTTGGTTAACGGACCCCGAAAAAGAGGACACATCTCATAATTCATATAGGTTGATTTATAACACTACAAAAGTTTAAATTATGAACGGGGTGATATGTTTAATCACTGAGTTTTTCTATCTATTTTTTTTTAATAAATAAGACACTTATAAAAATATAAGTACTTTCAATAAATTTTGGATATATTAAATATTTAAAATTTAAATGAAATTGTTATATTTTTTTAAATAGATAGTATAACTTTTATTTTATATCATTTTGTATTGTGATTAAATAAATCAATGATATTATTAATAAATAATGTAAGTCAATTGTAAGTAGATGTAGCATTACTATAATGGCATCAAATCAGAGTTTAACACAATCGTAAACAATAAGAAAAAAAATTGTTTAATATTTTTTTATAGGAAACCAACTTAATTTTCCATTGGTCTTAAACAAAATAATTAGATATAAAGTTGAAACAACTAATGAACTATTAAAATAAAAAATATATATTCAACTTCTATACTAAATTAGTTCTATCACAATCTATATACAACATGATCGATTTATCTTGTTAAAAGTGATGTATTATGTTAATTTCTAGAAAATTTATCTACTTTATATTATTCTTGAACAACATATTCATGATGTTTAACATCAGTTTGTTGTTCAATAACATTCTTATGTTCTTCATGAATCATGATGATGTAATGCTCCAGTTTCTTTAGGACAACCCCTTCTATAATATGAATCAATGTCATCATGGATCTCCTACTAATATGATGGATTAGTTATAAAATTTTACAACTAAAAAGATAATGAGTGTTTCTTCCTCCATCTCACTTCTATCTTCCTGCATCTTCAACTTTTTTGAAATTTTTATGTTTATCCCTGTCAGAAGTTCAAACATAGAAGAATCTTTTGATCGCGTGCATTAGATTCTGTTTCCATTAAAAGACCAAAAACCCTACACCTCCTGTGCCCCTTTCTCATTACAGAGTTCTTTACCGCACTTCATTCTCACTTTTCTCCTCTCCCTCAGCAAAGTCTTTATCATAGCCGTCATTGTCCATTGATGTTCCATTCCGTGGTTGTCGATCCAGTGCTGGTGAGGTGCAATGGTGCTTCTTCCTCTTCTCTCTGTGGTTGTTTGGCTTAGCGTCCAGGTAGGTGTTTCTTTCCTAAAATTTTGTTTTTACATTGTATGAAAATGGTATTGATGCTATACTTAGATCTGTGTGCTTTGGTTGAATCTCGTTTTTCATGGGTGCTTGAGTGGCTGCCGAGTTGGAAGCGCGACGGAGAGGCTAACACACTTGAATGACGGTTGAATGAGTGTCGGGCGTTGGAAGCTCGGCGAAGTGCTTACCGTAGATGGTAGCCGCACTTCGAATTGCGTGGATGGTAGCAGAATGAAGACATAAGCAGAAGGCTTTACTAAATCATACGCCAACATACAGGGTCATCGGATCTCACGTAAACTAATTGAATTTTTTATAGTGATTATGTTGAAAGTCTGGAGCATACAAAATGATTCTCGTTTATGGGTTGATATAAAAGTGTCCATTTTACCTATTGTGTGAAAATATCGAGTTATATAAAAAAATATATAAATTGAGAATTAATTAATTGATAACAAGTCTTTAAATATATCTTTGCTAAGTTAGGATGAATGACACTTTGAAATGTCAAGAAGATATTTTGTAGTTCTATAAGGCGTTCCAAACCGCCCCAATTGTTTCTATCATAGTGCAACATGTTCTAAAGGAGAAGATCTTACAGAACAACATTATAAAAAAGACACAACCTTCAGTCGAATGATGTCTTCTGCTTAAGCAACACCTTCTTAATTGCTTTGTCCAAGCTCATGTATGAACGACCACAGGTCTTGTTCCTCCTCCGCTTTCTTCTTTAACAAGATCGTCTTTTCTCTCATCTTCTTTCCCTTCTCCCTTACCATCAACTCATTCTCCACCTTCTTCACCTCCTCTCTCTTCGCATTGCTATCAATCTCAATCCCAATCTCCCACTCACTGCACATATATCTATAGTTTGTTGGTTGTTCTGCAAAAAATGGCTAGCACAGGGTTAGAACTCTAGCGCAAACACTTTCAGTCGCCGAGTTCCATTCATAGTGAGTTAGAGGGGTGTCGAACTTCGAACTTCGACAGCCGCACTTCCCACTGCATCACTACATAATCGGCGTTCGACCCTTAACCGAGATTCCAACGCCGGTTAAGGGTGCTAATGTGTATCGTGAAAGACTCTCGAACCCGCGAATCTCTTCCAGCACCTTTCTCTTCCAAGAACCACCACAGCAAGACCACCATGATTACCACCAATGTATCACTACTTTCATAATATAACCTCTAAGAAATAAAACTCAATGAAACAAAAAAGAAAAAAATAAAACACTAGAAAAATGAGATGGAGGTGCATGCACAAACTTATAGTACAAGTACAAGGTTAAGGGTTGTTGGTGGTTGAAAAATTAATAAACCATCATTACACTTTTTCAGATTTTATTAAGTGAAGGACAAAACTATCAATTGAAACGTGCATGGAACAACACTAAAAAATAATTAACTGAAATACTATTTTATTTTGATTACCTAATCTTATATCTTTTAATAAATTGAGATAAAAAAACATATCACAATCTACTTTATATTAATTATAAAATCTTATTTGTATAATATAAAATATCATTTTATATCAATCTTATAACTTTTTAGCTTTTTACATATGAAAAATAAGAAAATAAAATAATTATAATTCTATTTTATATTAAGTTTAACATCTTATATTGTACACTAAATAGATAATTGTATCATATGATTGTCCGTTCAGTCACAAATCGAATGATCAACCTTTACTCGATTTCATAAACAAGTCATTATCAAGACCAAACCGTCATGTAAGTGAATTGATGGTCGTAATTCAAGACAATTAATTTTAATATTGACCAACTTAGAGGTAAAAATGTGAATATCAACAATTTAACTATAATTAATCTGATATTAATAAAAAATCTATTAAAAACCAATAAATAAAGAGATAGATAAAGTGTATGTTGAGCTTAATACAATTTTTAAATCCTAAATGACTCTTATACCTTTAATCTCGATCTTAAATTTCAAAACAATAATAAAATAATCTTAGATATAATGGACTAAGACTTATAAATTAATTAAACATAATAAAAAAAAAAGTGAATTTTGTCGTTGACGAAGAAGATTTAAAATAAACTAATTATTTTGGGTGGTTACGCACATAGTATTGCTAAAAAAAAGTGAAGTGAAATAAATAAAAAAAGTGGAATTATCTGTACCAGAGAGTCAAAATTGGGGCTTGACAGGGTAATTGGTCTAAAAAGGTAATGAAACGTGTAGGTGTAGATTTCTTCAGACCAATCCAATAGAATTCCCTCCAAGCTAGCACCAACTATAAATACAACTTCTCATCTTCTCCAAAATCCATTTATCTTTACGCGTTTTCCTCTCCACGTTACCCAGATCTCTCCTAACAAATAACTCTCTCACTCATCCTGTCGCGTTTTCTTCCAATCTTCTTCCTCTCTGCATCCATCTCTAATCGAATGTCCTTGCAGTTGATATCACACAGAGCCTTTCCAATTTCGGTGTAAGAATTAGGGTTTCCACGATGCCTTCGCTTCCCTTTGGACTCCTTCTACGCCATTTCGTTCCTTCCTTCCTCATGTTCCACGCTGGATCCTCCGCTAGTCGTCTCAAGCATCTTGAAAAAAGTGATCGGCGTTGTAGTCTTAGTTAACAACAACTTTTCTTCCTTCTCTTTCTCTCTTCTCTGTTCCTGCCTTTCTCAGTTTTTTCTTCGTCGATCTTTTGTTTACGAAATTCGGGATCCAGACGTTTTTGACCGTTGTTTCTGTTACTGTTGTATTGACTTCGAAGACCATAAAATTTTGCAGCTGTAATCGCCGTCCATTAGGTACTTGATTTAGATTTCGTAAAAACTGGCTACGTGTTGGGGCATGTTTGTTTGTGTTTATGGAACAATAGTGATGTTTATTTGGCGTTTTATCTGCCTTTTTATACAGATTGTCTCATGTATGCTCATTTTAAAATATCTATATAATATATAGTATAAAACGTTATCACCTTATTTGGCTTTATTTTTTACTGCATTTAAATAGTAGTCTACATTTTAAACTGGAAATTTCCTGTTATGTTTATAATAGACAAAATTTTCGGCCGATTTGAATTGATGGACAATGTTGCTTTTTATGTTTTAATGCTAATTTCACTAAATGAGTCATGCTGCCATTCTAATATGAAAACGTTACATATGGGACTGGTAGATTTAGCCGGAAGTCTTAACATGTTTATTCATTCCAATTATTAATATCCTTCCTTGTTCTATTGTTGCTACTTCATTGTTACAGCTAATATTTGCGCCGTGATATTGATTAATATCTTTTTTTAGCTCTTTGATTTCTACGCATTCATGAGAATAAATGCACAAAATGTGTTTGGAATGGTTTATTAGTTAATGCTTGTGTATGTAGATTATTGGTGGTGTTTTTTCTTTTGCTTATTATTCATCAATTTTGTCTGTTGTTGCCTGTAGAGCCTAATACAATAAATGGGCACGCCTGCTGTTGTTAGTAATATACCAGGCTACATCATAAGTAAGCTTGAAGGTACCTTTATTGAGTCACTGCATATACAAGATGCTTTAAAGTTGGAACAAGCATATGAGGTGGATCGTTTTGATAATTTTTACCCGGAGGAGGAGAATTCAAGTGGTGGTTTTGAAACGCAAGAAACCAAATTAGAGATTAAGTGCTTGAAAGATTGTTCAACGTTTTCTTATCCTGATATGTGTCTTCCTTCAAGCTGTTCTGATGAGGAGACAGATAAATCACTCTCTAAGCAATCTCGTCAAAACTACTGCTCAGTAAGTTGTTAATGTTCTAATTTCTTTACAAGGGTTTGTTCCGGTTTCTGCTAGCTGCGCTTTTAGACTGCAGTATGGTCTTGGGAGTATACTATAAGCAGTTTTTATTTTTGGTTATTTATTTCGATGTTTTCTTTGCTATATACACCACAGGCTCCAGCAAAACTTGTATCTGCCATGAAGGGTAGCCGTGAAAAAGAAAGGGGATCTCAAATTAAATTGACTGTGAAATGGGCCCCTGATGTGTATGATCCGGTACCGACATTGTCATCACATACTGTTAAACACAAGAAACATCAGAAACCCAGGATGAGGAAGAGTGAAAAGAAAAATGGAAAGAAGAGCCAGAAGGTAAGTTACTCTAGAAGAAGCAGCAGCAGCAGCAAAGATAAACAGTATCGAAACAGGTGGCTGCATTCTGGTGAAGAAGTGTTTGAAGCTTCCACTGAACTTAAAGTAGTTAAGCATGATTCCTACTGTGCAACTAGCTACTTAAAAGCAATTACAGAGGTTCACTGGCCTATTGGAGAAGCGCTGTAACTCGATCGATCGTATCATGTATCGAGACTGCTGCCTAAAAAGATAATTTTCTGTTTTGTTGTATGATGAATAGATTGACTAAGGCCGTTGGAAGCAGTATAATGAACGATACATATCCTTTTTTGTTAACTAATTAGGCTTTTAGGTAACATGGCTGGAAGGATATTTACACGGCAGGTATTTACATGACTATAGCTTCTGCACACGCCATTGAGAGTAGATGTGTTTGCGTAGATAGCTTTTATTTTCAGTGGCCACATGGTTCATCATAGCAATTGCTTTCATTTACCAATCAGCAATTCGGGATTCCATTATGAGCACCAACACATACCTCAAACATCATACATCGGTCTTCTTGGTATTCACTTCTAGATTATTCAATTCTAGTTGATATCCAGACATGCACTGCAATCAAAGTCAGACGAAAAACGAGGGGAAAAAACTTTATTCACTGCAGGGAACTCTCCGACTTCAGTCATCTAAAAGTTAATTTTTTAAATGTATTTTTAACACGAAACAATGTATTATGTTTTATTCATAAGCTTGCCCCCAAATCTAAATTATAAATTTATCTTAATGATGTCCTAAATATTTAAAAAATAAAAATGATTCAAATAAAATTATAGAAAATGTAGGGTTTTGTTTTCAATAAAAAACTGCAAAATTTTTTACTGAGTTTATTTATCAATAAGCACAATATAAAATTCAAATCAAATCTAAAAGATCATCCAAGCCAATATCGTATATTCAAAATAATATCCCAAAATGAAATCAATATTAAAAAAAATTCTTAAATAATATCTAACTACATTATAATCCACTCCCCATCTCTAAGTAAATGTTAGTGTTCGGATTTTCATTTGGTTATGTTGTGTACTCAGCATTTATTTTAACGTAATCATAGCTTAAATCACAGCCCCAAGCTTGTCCACG